GGTATATATTTAGTATGTTCTAATAAATCAAATTTTTTGTTTGATTTTTTTTTTTTATAAAGAATAATATATGAACAATTAAAATCAATATCTTTAAAAGATATTGAATTCATCACGATAAAATGATCATAAAATGCTTTTTGTTTAATTTTTGAAAATTTTGTAAAAGGAGTTACAATATCTTTTTGGATAGACATTGTTAAATAATTAAAATAATTTTAATTATTTTATGAAAGCACCAATATTGCTTTCAGTATCAAATCTTATGATTCGATGAAATAAAAATGAGAGCTTTTTTCTCTCTCTTTTATAGATATTTTTAAAACAAACAAAAAAAAACCAAGTTTTTTAATTTCTCTCATAAAAACTAATATCAATTTAAAATTGATACTAAATTGTTCAAAAATCTTTAATTTTCTAATTCGTAATTCGTAAATCGATCAACAATATATTATTTAATCTAAGATTTCTAATTCATAAAATCGATCAACAATATATTATTTAGTTTAAAATTCCAATAATTCGTAAAATCGATCAACAATATATTATTTAATCTAAGATTCCTAATTCATAAAATCGATCAACAATATATTATTTAATCTAAGATTCCTAATTTGTAAAATCAATTAACAATATATTATTTAATCTAAGATTCCTAATTCATAAAATCAATCAACAATATATTATTTAGTCTAAAATTCCTAATTCGTATAATTTATATTTTTATTAAATCTTGGCTTTTGAGTTTTTTTTGCAAGAAACTGAGTTCTTTGAGTTTTTTTGCAAGAAACTGAGTTTTTTGAATCTTGGCCTATCAACATTTGAGTTTTTTTTGCAAGAAACTGAGTTTTTTGAATCTTGGCCTATCAATATTTGAGTTTTTTTACAAGAAACTGAGTTCTTTGAGTTTTTTTTTGCAAAAAACTGAGTTTTTTGAATCTTGGTGAGTTTTTTTGCAAGAAACTGAGTTCTTTAGGTTTTTTTTACAAGAAACTGAGTTTTTTGAATCTTGGCCTATCAACGTTTGAGTTTTTACAAAAATATTTTAAAACAAAACAAGAAGCAATAGAATTTAAAATAAATAATAAAATCATGGAAAATTTAAATAGAAAAAAAATTTAATTAAAATTTATTCATAAAAAATATAAATAATACAATAATTCTTTAAATTAAAAACTATCTTTTCTTTTACTATTTTGAGTCGCTTCATTAATATCTCGTATTAAATCTTCATATTCATTATAACTATTATAACCACTATCATTAGAATCATATTCACTATCATCATTAACAAAATTATTAATATCACTAATAACACTAAACACATCAGTTTGAAAAATAAAAGTTTCATCATTTATAAATTCATTAATTACTTCATCATATAGGCTAGGTGCTGAGAAAAGGGACCAAATTGACAAAACAAAAGATCTTCAAAAAATCAATTTTTGTA